AACCGCAATGAGTCGCCGTTGTAGGCTGAGATATTGCGGTATATAAGCATACAAAATAAATAAATAAATAAATAATAATCAAAGCCAAGCACTCCAACATGTTTACTGGAATTACTCCCGAGTAAATAGGTAGAGCTCGGAGTCCCCTTTGGGGAGATAAAATGGGATATAAATAAATACAACAACAACAACAGCAACAACTTCACAGTCATGGTCAACTCGTTGTAGCATCCTATGGTACATCTACACCAGTGATTCTCAACCTTCCTAATGCCGCAACCCCTTAATACAGCGAATCCATGGAGCGGCATGAGCTTCCACTATTAGCCCCAGCTTCTGCCAATCTAGCAGTTCGAAAACATGCAAATGTGAGTACCGCTCCGGTGGAAAGGTAACAGCGCTCCATGCAGTCATGCCGGCCACATGACTTTTGAGGTGTCTACGGACAACGCCGGCTCTTCGGCTTAGAAACGGAGATGAGAACCAACCCGCAGAGTCGGATACACCTACACCAGTGTTTCCCAACCTTCCTAATGCCATGACCCCTTAAGAGAGTCCCTAATATTATGTTAACCCCAACCATAACATTATTTTCATTACTACACCATAACCGTTGTGCTGTCCACCCAGACGCTATAAAAAATAAAACTGCGACGTGCTTCTCTCTATGTCTGAGCGAACTGCGGGTGTCTTTCTTGAGAAGCTTGAGATACTCAGCAACTGAGGCTATTACTTGTTTTAAACATCAAAAAAGGAATATTTATTCTTCAAAGTCCTTGCAGACTTGGCACAGTTCATCAAGGTTACAAACAGAACAGTCAATTGGTGAAACAACAAAGATGATCTTTCTTTCCTTTCCTTGAGTTATTAAGGCAACCTTTCCCCAAAATGGCAGATAAGATTCTGGAATCTTTCACCCTAACCCTGAGCTGCTATGGTTCGGAAAAAAAGCAGGATTTGTTCCCTATCTATAGCTCAAGGTTAGCTTTGGAGATGAAGTAATGCTCAATATCTCAATACTAAATTTATCTATCTATGACTCAATCTCACTCAATATTACTCAATATTTATCTATAGTATCTCAATCTATATCTGCTTCTCAATAGGCTTCTCTATCCATAATATCTCAATCTTCAATTGTCTTAATATATCTCAATATAGCTTAATAGTTATCTATAACTCAATATAGCTCAATATTCAGTTACTATCTATATTAACTCAATATAGTTTTTGCAATGGTTTTTCCAAAGCTACCTGCCTGACCATCAGCATGTCTGAAGTCTTTCCTCTGGGAGAAAATGCAAGGGAGAACAACTTCAAGCAACTGTAAGGTAAGGCAAACCAGGCTCCTGGGAGACGGAACAACTGTAATTTTGCTTCTGTTATGAATCGTCATGTAAATATCTGATACATGATGTATTTTCATTCACTGGACCAAACTTGGCACAAATACCTGATACACCCAAATTTGAATACTGGTGAGGTTGGGGGTGCTGATCTTGTCATTTGGGAGTTGTAGTTGCTGGGATTTATAGTTGACCTACAATCAAAGAGCATTCCGAACTCCACCAATGAGGGAATTGAACCAAATTTGGCACACAGGACTCCCATGAACAAGAGTAAATACTGGAAGGGTTTGATGGGCATTGACCTTGAGTTTTGGAGTTGTAGTTCACCTACATCCAGAGAGCACTGTGGACGCAAGCAATGATGGATCTGGACCAAACTTGGCACAAATACTCAATATGCCCAAATGTGAACTGTGGTAGAGTTTGGGGGAAAAAGAACTTGACATTTGGGGGTTGTAGTTGTTCATCTACAATCAAAAAGCATTCTGAACCAACGATGGAATTGGGCCAAACTTCCCACCCAGAACCCCTATGAGGAACAGAAAATACTATATTTTCTTATGGTCTTTGTGCCAAACCTCAGACACCGGCTTGTGACCCTCCAGGGGTCTCGACCCCCAGGTTGAGAAATGCTACTCTACATAGAATCATAGAATCAAAGAGCTGGAAGAGACCTCATGGGCCATCCAGTCCAACCCCCTGCCAAGAAGCAGGAATATTACATTCAAATCACCCCTGACAGATGGCCATCCAGCCTCTGTTTAAAAGCTTCCAAAGAAGGAGCCTCTACCACACTCCTGGGTAGAGAGTTCCACTGCTGAACGGCTCTCACAGTCAGGAAGTTCTTCCTCATGTTCAGTATAGAACACTATAGAATTAATTCAGTTTGGCACAAGTTTAACTTCTAATAGCTTAGTACTATAGCAGCATGGGTGTTGTTATAGTTTGACAAGATATTTAACGTCTCTGCCAAAGATTGTTGTTGCCTCTTCAAATTACAACTCCAAAAATCCCATGCATTGAGCCGCGGCCATTAAAGTGGTGCCAAACTGCATTAATTCTACAGTGTGGATGCTCCCTTTTCAACTCCTTGTCGCTTCTGTTGACCGCAACGTTAAAGAGGCAAGAAGAGTGAGCCAGGAAGATTACAAACTGCCTGTCTCGGACAGATTAGGCTCTGCAAACTCAGTAGATCCGCGAGATTACATCTGTGTCAAAACAATAAGATTAAAAAGCCATGCAGATTCAGGAGGATCTGCAGATTTAAATCGGCACCTTTGGGTTTTGTAATTGCGGCGGGTGCAATCACCGACTTTGATTCTGGTGTTGTGCTGGTTGCATGACTATACCTTCGAGTCCTGGGCTATATTTCAGAGGAAGGAAATGGCAAACACAACAAAAATCCTTGGCGTGCCAGTGTCACCTCAAACTACAACTCCAAGGATTCCATAGCATGGAGCCATGGTAATTCAAGTGGTGCCAAACTGCATTAATTCGACAGTGTGGATGCACCCTAAGAGAGACATGGCACAACAAGGAACAGGTGAATTGTTGCAACTCCAAAGCCCCCCGTGCCCCTTGCGCCAGAGTTCATTGGGAGGAAGTTCCAATTACAGTGAAAGGCAATGAGAAGTCAGAGTCGGGCCGAACGTTTGCAGTGCCTTTCTAAGGGGATTACACGGGATTATCAGGCCGGCAAGCAGAGTGGGAAGGGGGGGGAGTTGCATCCTGTCAAGCGACCAGCCGGGCAGAGATGTTAAACCCTGACCCTTTGGCCCAAGCCTGGGCACCGGCTGGGATTACTGACCGCTTGGCAACAGCGTGGGGATCAAGGGGTCAGTCCCCTTCACGTGACCTGCGCCAAGAGCCATGCCAAGGCGTACCTGCTGTTAGGAATTGTGGGAGTTGACGTCCAAAACACCTGGAGGGCCCAAGTTTGCCCATGCCTGATATATATTATCATCATCATCTTTAATTACTTATTAATCGCCCTCCATCCGAGATGCTCCAGGCGATTTACATAGCAGAAATTATATAGGATAAAACACATACATACAAATATTAAAATTAACATGGGTCAAATGGTCTAGTAAAAAGCCAGGTCTTAAGTGCTAGGATAAAATGCCCTAAGTCATGCATGGCTCTCAAATAGGGAGGCAAGGAATTCCATAAGGCAGGGGCAGAAATAGAGAAGGCCCATCTGCGTCTGGTGCTTTCCAAGTGCACTTCCCTAGGACCCGCATATAGAGCAAATCGCGTTGGGATGGTTGTGGTGACCTCCGATGGTGGTAGAAGGAGAGACTGTCTCTAAGATACAATAGACCCTGGCCATATAAAGTTTTAAAGGTCAGGACCAGCATCTTATACAAACCACGATACTCAATTGGGAGCTGGTGTTATATGCAGGGGCGGCTCGTCCATTACACGAAGTAAGCGGTCGCAGAACACTTTTTTTGCCAGGGGCGCAGAGGCGCCTCTGTAAATGCCCCTCACCGCCACTTGAGGAGCGCCCCCTCAGCTCACAACAGCCCTAGCAGTCCGGGGGGAGCCTCGGCTTTCTTGACTCGCTGGGGCGATCCTCTTCCCAAAGGGGCCGGGCCCTTGAGCCTCGCCTAGCCCCTCTCGTTCCTGCTCCAAATGGCCACCGGGTGCGCAAGCAGAACTGGCACTCAATCGTTCTCTGCATTCAATCCCTTCCCCATGACCGGCTCCCTTTCCCGATCCCCCGGCGCTCCACCCGCCTCCTCTCCTCTCCCCAATCCGTGGGTGGGCCAAGGGGTGGAGCCGGAGGTGTGTCTGAAGACCCCAGCGTGCGCACCAAAAGTCGCCTCTTCTCCTGACTTTCTCTTCAGCCATTGGGACCAAGAGAGATGGAAAAAGGCCTGTTTGCTGGAAGCAGTGACCTGAGCCTCCATCGTCAGCTGCGAATCCAAAACGACACCTAGGCTCTTAACGGTAGGTGATGGAGGTAGAGCAGCGCCATCAAAGGTAGGTAACGGATGGGTCGGACCTATCAGGCGGCCATGCCACAGGATCCCAGTCTTCGCCGGATTCACCTTCAGTCTGCTAGCACGTAGCCAGTTCGACAAAGCCTCCGGGCATAAGGTGAAATTGTCAGGTATTGGTGTTACTCCAGGCTCCAAGCGCAACAGGAGTTGGGTGTCGTCCGCATATTGATAGCAGTCCAGGCCGAATCTCCGAACCAAACTGGCAAGGGGTCTAACGTAGATGTTGAAAAGAAGAGGGGAGAGAATTGCACCTTGGGGTGCCCCGCATAGGAGGGGGGAACTTTCGGAGACTTGGTCCATATATTCCACGCACTGACTCCGATTTCGGAGGAATGAACTGAACCAATTGAGGGCCTGACATGGCGAGACGGTGGATCATTAAATCGTAGTCAATGGTGTCAAACGCTGCGGTAAGATCGAGAAGTACCAGAAGCGCCAATCCGCCGCTATCAGACTGACGACAAAGTTCATCTGTAATGGCAACCAGGACCGTCTCCGTCCCATGACCCGGGTAAAAGCGTGACTGGAAAGGGTCCAGGCTGGCTGTGTCATCCAAAAATTGCTGCAATTGACCCAATACAGCCCGCTCTATCACCTTACCTTACCTAAGAATGGAAGATTACATTATATATGGACTTCTTACCTTTGTGAGTGTTTTCATCTTCCAAAGGCTTTCTCTCTGGACTCGGTTCCTCTTCCAGTTTGGCCTATGTAAACAAAACCAAAAGACGCTGAAGACCAAAACTTTGCTTTTCAGGGATTTGACAGTAAATCAAGGGACGCGGCAAACCGTTCAGCAGATATGAGGACTTTCAAAACTCTCCCAAATAGGTCAATGCTTCATTTATTGGTGTGTTTTAAAATACACGCCATCACACTTAAAACACAATAATGGATTGGAGAGCTAAAAGTACAATAAACAGATAATCTATTTGAGGCAGCCTTTGGGAGAAAAGAACCTACACTGCAAATTAATGCTGTTTGATGACACCATTTTAACTGCCATGGATTCATTCAAAGGGATCCAACACCTCACTACCTCTGAGGATGCTTGCCATAGATGCAGGCGAAATGTCAGGAGAGAATGCTTCTAGAATATGGCCATAGAGCCCGAAAAAACCTACAACAACCCACGGATCCAGCTCTGGGCATCTCAATTGAAGGGAGATGTTGACTCTAAGCTGGAATGTGTCCAGAAGAAGAGGGTGACTCAAATGGTCAAGGGTATGGAGAACAAGCCCTATGAGGAGCGGCTTAAAGAACTGGGCATGTTTAGCCTGAAGAAGAGAAGGGTGAGAGGAGACAAGATAGCCATGTAATATGTGAGAGGAAGTCACGGGGAGGAGGGAGCTAGCTTGTTTTCTGCTGCCCTGGAGATGAGGATGCAGTGGAACAATTATTTATTTTATTATTTATTTATTTGTATTGTCGAAGGCAATACAAATAAGGCAATTCGCACCTAGCTCCAACAGACAAGAGTTCTTTGTCCCACCCTGGTCATTCCACAGATATATATAAACCCATTTTCCTAGTTCCAACAGACCTCACTACCTCTGAGGATGCTTGCCATAGATGCAGGCGAAACGTCAGGAGAGAATGCCTCTAGAACATGGCCATACAGCCCAAAAAAACCAACAACAACACATTTATTTATTTATTCTTTACTATATTTGTATACCGCCCTTCTCAGCTCTCTGGCGAGTGAGGCTTCAAACTACAAGAAAGGAGATTCCACCTGAACATCAGGAAGAACTTCCTGACTGTGAGAGAAAGCTGTTCAGCAGTGGAACTCTCTGCCCCGGAGTGTGGTGGAGGCTCCTTCTTTGGAGGCTTTTAAGCAGAGGCTGGATGGCCATCTGTCAGGGGTGCTTTGAATGCAATTTTCCTGCTTCTTGGCAGGAGTTGAACTGGATGGCCCACCAGGTCTCTTCCAACTCTATGACTCTATGATCCTGGGAGTTATAGTTTTACAAAGTACATAAGTCTTCTTTGCCAAATAGTGCTGGGTCCTCATCTTCTACGATTCATAGAATCAAAGAGTTGGAAGAGACCTCATGGGCCATCCAGTCCAACCCCCTGCCAAGAAGAAGGAATATTGCATTCAAATCACCCCTGACAGATGCCATCCAGCCTCTGTTTAAAAGCTTCCAAAGAAGGAGCCTCCACCACACTCCGGGGCAGAGAGTTCCACTGCTGAACGGCTCTCATGGCAGATAAAGGAGTGTCAAACTGCATTAATATATATTTTTAATGTAGATGCTCGCAATCAAAATCATTTATTGAAATTACCGACATCTTAAAAGAAGAGAAGAATCATCTGACCGAGTAAATTGGCAAGCAAGAAAAGGCTAGCTCACTGTAAAGACTTGTTTGACGTGACATAGTCTTAGACTGGATCTACACTGCCATATATGTGCAGTGCAAAGTCATATAATGCAGTTCAAACTGCATTATGTGGGTCCACACTGAGCATATATTGCATTTTGAACTGCATTATATGGCAATGCAGATCCAGCCTCAATCACAAGAGAAAGTGGAGAAAAGTGCATTGCTGTCTATTTGCTGCCACCTAGTGGTCACACCTAGTTCCAACAAGAGGACTATAAAGGCACCCATGCTTCCCACATCTGCAAAGAACTGGGTTGCAAACAGTTGAAAGGTCCCAAATCCTCAATAATAATAATAATAATAATAATAATAATAATAATAATAAATAATAATAATAATAATAATAATAATAATAATAATAATAATAATAATAAAATAATAATGGTTCTTGTAGGTTTTTTCGGGCTATAGGGCCATGTTCTAGAGGCATTCCTCCTGACGTTTCGCCTGCATCTATGGCAAGCATCCTCAGAGGTAGTGAGGTCTGTTGGAAATAGGAAAATGGGTTTATATATCTGTGGAATGACTGGGGTGGGGCAAAGAGCTCTCTGCTGAAGCTAGGTGTGAATGTTTCAGCTGACCACCTTCATTAGCATTTGAAGGCCTGGCAGAGCCTGGGAAAATGTTCTGTTGAGAGGTGTTAAGATGTGCCTGGTTGTTTCCTCTCTGCTGTTTTGCTGTTGCAATTTTAGAGTTTTTTAATACTGGTAGCCAGATTTTGTTCATTTTCATGGTTCTTTAGAAACTCTAAAATTACAACAGCAAAACAGCAGAGAGGAAACAACCAGGCACATCTTAACACCTCTCAACAAAATTTTCCCAGGCTCAGCCAGGCCTTCAAATGCTAATGAAGGTGGTCAGCTGAAACATTCACACCTAGCTTCAGCAGAGAAGAGCTCTTTGCCCCACCCCAGTCATTCTACAGATATATAAACCCATTGTCCTATTTCCAACAGACCTCACTACCTCTGAGGATGCTTGCCATAGATGCAGGCGAAACGTCAGGAGAAATGCCTCTAGAACATGGCCCTATAGCCCGAAAAAACACAAGAACCTAGTGATTCCAGCCATGAAAGCCTTCGACAATACAATAATAATCATAATAATAATAACGACAACAATAAATGTAATAATATAATAAATATAATAATAATAAATACAATAATAATAAATATAATAATAAATATAATATCAACAACAACAACAATAATAAACCTTTATTTATACCCCGCTACCATCTCCCGAAGGCCTCGGTGCGGCTTACAAGAGGCCGAGCCCAAATACATCAGTAAAAAATAACAACAACAATACAGACAATATGGCCATGTTCTAGAGACGTTTCTCCTGACGTTTCGCCTGCATCAATGGCAAGCATCCTCAGAGGTAGTGAGGTCTGTTGGAATTAGGACAATGGGTTTATATATCTGTGGAATGGCCAGGGTGGGACAAAGAACTCTTGTCTGTTGGAGCTAGTTGTGAATTGCCTTTTTTGTATTGCCTTCGACAATACAAATAAATAAATAATAAAATAAATAATTGTTCCATTGCATCCTCGTCTCCAGGGCAACAGAAAACAAGCTTGCTCCCTTTGACTTCCTCTCACATATTTATACATGGCTATCTTGTCTCCTCAGACCTCACCTCTGAGGATACTTGCCATAGATGCAGGCGAAACGTCAGGAGAAAATGCCTCTAGAACATGGCCATATAGCCCGAAAAAACCCACAAGAACTGAGTGATTCCAGCCATGAAAGCCTTCGACAATACAGACAATAAATAAACTCATAAACAAAGCAATAAACAGTAACAATAACACCACGACGCATTAAAAACCTATGACGGGGGAATTGTAATAATTAATTTTTTTTTAAAAATGCTGGGCATGACAAGGTGACATATAACTAGGGTGGGTATTTGGAGAGAGATGGAGCGAGCAAACAATCCTAGATCATTAGTAAAGAGCGATTAGGGACATGTTGCTTAGGGTTTCCTTATTCTGGGAAGGCACACTGGAACAATCACGTTTTCAGGCTCCTCTTAAAGACTGCCAAAGTTGGGGCATGCCTAATGTCCTTGGGGAGTGAGTTCCAGAGTCGAGGGGCCACCACCGAGAAGGCCCTGTCCCTCGTCCCCACCAATCGCGCTTGCGATGGAGGTGGGATTGTGAGTAGGGCCTCTCCAGATGAACGAAGGGACCGTGTGGGTTCGTACACAGAGATGTGGTCATGCAGGTAGGCGGGTCCCAAACCGTTTAGGGCTTTGTAGGTAAGCACCTGCACCTTGAATTGGGACAGGAAAATAAATGGTAGCCAATGGAGCTCCTTAAACAGGAGGGTTGACCTCTCCCTGTAAGGAGCTCCAGTTAACAACCTGGCCACCGCCCGTTGAACCAGTAATGTATTGCCAATACAACACATAGTCCTAGACACTTGGGAAGTGTCCGATGTGTGATCCAATGCAACAGCCAGCAGAGTGATCTTGTTTGCTGTGGACTCATCTTGTTGTGTTTAATAATAATAATAATAATAATAATAATAATAATAATAATAATAAGGAAGACTCTCACTATGTGAATAAGCAGGGATGAATTCCGCTCCCTCTGAAGGACTCGTGTAGACAATTCTCTTTTTTTCCTGGAAGAGAAAGAAAGAAAGAGATTTATGGTATAGTATAACGGCGCTCCATGCAGTCATGCCAGCCACATGGCCTTGGAGGTGTCTACGGACAACGCTGGCTCTTCGGCTTAGAAATGGAGATGAGCACCACACCCCAGAGTCAGACATGACTGGACTTAATGTCAGGGGACTACCTTTACCTTTACTATGGTATAGCTCAGGCATGGGCCAACTTGGGCCCTCCCTCCAGGTGTTTTGGACTTCAACTCCCACCATTCCCAACAGCCTCAGACCCCTTCCTTTTCCTTTTTCCCTTTCCTTCTCCACTTAAGCAGCTGAGGGGCACAGAAACAATCTCAAACATATTTGTAACTGACTAATAAGTTGTGCACTTGTGTATGCTGAACACATGAAGGTTGTGAGTAAACCACATATGTTATTTTTACCAGAGTCTACTTTATTTTGCCTCTTGAGTGCCTAACATAAAACAAGTTGTTTTATGGGATAGTAGATATATATTTTGGGCACTGAAAAACACTTCTGAAGAACAGCTATTTTATGTGCACTGGCATATTCTTTGTTCCTTGACAGATCAGAGACAACAGGTTGTTCAGTCTAACAACTGAAGCCAATTGTGTCAGTACTATAGTTTTACTGGTATGAAATATAGTTTGGGTGTCCGTTGCAGGATGTAATGCTATGTAATGCTATGCAAGAGTTAAAGGCATAGAGTGATTTACTGCCGAGAGAGTGAACTGTGAGCTTTTCCTGTATATGTCACACATTACAATCACATGGATTTGAGATAACGGACTGCTGGGTGTTTTCTCTTCTAGAAGAAGCAAGATGCACGTGTGATTTCTGTTGTACATAGTTATGTTTGTTACTTTTGTAGCTTTTTTTTTGTCGTGTCAGGAGTGACTTGAGAAACTGCAAGTCGCTTCTGGTGTGAGAGAATTGGCTGTCTGCAAAGGACGTTGCCCAGAGGACGCCCGGATGATTTGATGTTTTTATCATCCTTGTGGGTGGCTTCTCTCATGTCCCCGCATGAGGAGCTGGAGTTGATACAGGGAGCTCATCCGCCTCTCCCCGGATTCAAACCTGCAACCTGTCAGTCTTCAGTCCTGCCGGCACAGGGGTTTAACCCACTGCGCCACCGAGGGCTCCGGTGTTGTAGCTGTTAGAAAGTAACTAAATAAAATGTGCCACTTCAAGGCTTTGAAACCGATTGGAGACTGCGCACTTTGTTTTCATTGCGTTCATAGCAGTTGCTCTGAGGCTGAATTTTACTGACAAATTGCCTTGCATAGTTACATTTGGTTGTATACCACTTCCTCCGGAAAATCCTGCAAATCTCTTGGGAAGACAAGCGGACAAATGTCAGCATGCTGGAAGAAGCAAAGACCACCAGCATTGAAGTGATGGTCCTCTGCCATCAGTTCCGCTGGACCGGCCATGTTGTCTGGATGCCCGACCCAAAGCAGTTGCTCTACTCCAAACTCAAGAACAGAAAACGGAACATTGGTGGACAGGAAAAGAGATTTAAAGATGGGCTCAAAGCCAACCTCAAAAACTGTGGCATAGACACTGAGAACTGGGAAGCCCGGGCCCTTGAGCGCTCCAGCTGGAGGTCAGCTGTGAGCAGCAGTGCTGCAGAATTTGTAGAGGCACGAATGAAGGACAAAAGAGAGAAACGTGCCAAGAGGAAGGCACGTCAAGCCAACCCTGACCGAGACCGCCTTCCACCTGGAAACCAATGCCTTCACTGCGGGAGGAAATCATTCAGGCATCCCCTTGGGAAATGTCCTTGCAGACTGCCAATTCTCTCACACCAGAAGCGACTTGCAGTTTCTCAAGTCACGGGGTGTCTGCGCCCTACACCACTGGAGAAATTACACTGCTTAGCCGGTATTGCACCACCTGACATCCACTGGGAAGTAGCAACCAATTGTGAAAGGACCAAGGCAGTAACATCTCCTGCCCACCCCTTGCTTGGGTATCAGCCAGCACATCAATGACTTAAATAAAAAAATAGTTTTCTAAGATCTACAGAGACACTCGTTGGAACACCTCAGCAAGCGAGAGTCCAAAAGTGGCAGGCTCAAACGCAGAACCTCAATCAATGGCTGATACCAAATAATAGACTGAGTGATATTTATAAAGAAGACCATCTTTTAAAATATATTATTAACATTGAAATGTTAGGTTTTGACCTAAGACAGTTGCATGGGGCATAGCCTCAATGTTTTTCATCCATTTCATCCCTGGGCACACAGAAAACTGGGCGACTTGGAAGGCGCTGAACAGACTGCGCTCTGGCACCACGGGATGCAGAGCCAACCTTAAGAAATGGGGCCACAAAGTGGAATCCACAACATGTGAGTGTGGAGAAAAGCAAAGTACAGACCAGCTGCTGCAATGCAACCTGAGCCCTGCCACATGCACAAAGGAGGACCTTCTTACAGTAACACCTGAGGCACTCCAAGTGGCCAGATACTGGTCAAAGGACATTTAATTAACTACCAAGCTTGCAAACTTTGTGTTTTGTTTGTCTGTTTGTTTGTTTGTTAAAAAATGCAATGCAACTGTCTGGTCTGCCTCTGACACGATAAGTAAATAAGGTTGCTCTTGACACAACAACAACAACAACAACAAACTGCGGGAGGAGATGCAGATCAAGAATAGGGTTCCAAAGTCACCTACAGACCCACCAGCACAGTGATCCTGAAAAACCCTACTCGGACAACGAGGGTTCGCCTAAGTAAGTATACTACTTGAGAAGGTTCTACTCAAACGGGTCTCTAAAAGGATATGAATACCATTTTCTAAAAGGCTATGATGTCGAAAAAGTCATGCTTTTCTAAAACCCTGAACCTAAAATAGTGTGTGTGTTTCTCATGGCACAACATCCATTTTTGTGACCCACCACTGAAATCAACTCACTATGGGATGAAATGGAAACAGTGCCTTTTTCGCATTGGCACCCTCCAAATTGCAAATCCCATAGGATGTAGCCATGGTGGTCATAGTGGAATGGAAGGGTTATAATTGCCTAATGTGAAAGGGTCCTAAAGGAGCCACATACCTTCTAAAAGGGAAGCAGAGAAGCAGCAGAAGGATGGTGAGGACAACCGGGAGTGTTGACACAAAACTCACTCCAAATGAAGGAGAGGCTGAAACGCTGAGAGACATCTCCGTTTTCTGCGTCAGCAAAGGAGCCATCGAGCAACAGAAGGTGGAAAAGGAAAGCTGAAAAGAGAAGGAAATGACATGAAAAAACATACATTTTTAACCAGAGGGAAAGCATCTTGTACTGATACGGCTGTACCAGGAGCTCCAACTTCCTTTTCTTTCTTTGAGTGTTTGCATGTATTCCAATGTTCCATGCACTTCGCAATAAGGTGGCTTCCCTTGGTTTGCAATTATAGGGCCAATGACCCATCAATCATCGTTAAGTTTTTGTGGGTTTTTCCGGGCTATATGGCCATGTTCTAGAGGCATTTTTCCTAACATTTCGCCTGCATCTATGGCAAGCACCCTCAGAGGTAGTGAGGTCTGTTGGAATTAGGACAATGGGTTTATATATCTGTGGCATGACTGGGGTGGGGCAAGGAGCTCTTCTCTGCTGGAGCTAGGTGTGAATGTTTCAACTGACCATCTTCATTAGCATTTGAAGGCCTGGCTNCGTCTTGGGTGGCCCTTCACGGTTTCGCTCATGACATCATTGAGGTGCTCAAGCTCCAGCACCACAACAAGGTGGTGATCCTTTGCTGTAGCAGGTAGTATTTTAATTACTTTCCAAATTTATCTCTATGTGTTTGTATCCTCAGAATATAATCGTTCATTCTCCACCCATCCCCCCACCCCCCGTTGCTATTTTCTTTTCTTAGTTTCAATAGAATCGGATTATGGTATGCTAATATTCTTGCTAGGATCTCTATCTTTTCTGTTCTGCAGATGATGTCTTTTGTACCAAATACCATATCAATTCTGGAGGCTGATCTGTGTCTATGGGAGTAGTATGTAAATTCTCTCTCAGTTGGATTGAGAGTTCTCCAAATATCGAACATATCCCATTGATGTATTTCTTTCAAAAAAGAACCCGGTAATCTGCCTTCTTTCTTGTCTTTTTTAAACTCCTATCTAGCCAAATCATATCTTTTTCACCATATTCAGCAAGTATACCCGCAAGTGTCTTGTAAAATTCACTTTGTTTGGTATTGGGGGCATAGATACCTACTATGAGAACTGATTTACCCTGGATGAGAACCTTGATTATAAGAATCCTGCCCTCCTTATCTGAGAAAATTACCTCAGGGTACAGCATTTTCTTAATATATATTGCAATCCCATTGGTTTTCTTACAATTACAAGAGGTGAATAACTGGCCCAGTCTTTCTTGCCCCAATAGATGTATATCCTTTTCTACCATGTGGGATTCCACTAAACAAGCTATATCAAGCTTAATTTTCTTCAAGAAATGAAATACTTTCTTACGCTTTGATCCACTGTTTAAGCCATTCGAAACGATAGTATTCAGAGATTTGGTGGCCACTTTATCAGTGCATTTCATAATTACCCTGCTTCCCCCCGCCCCCCACCCCGTCTCCCCCTTAAATAAACTTATATAACTTTCTCAAACAGAGTCCACTGCTATTCAATTTCTTCCTCTACTTCTTTCTCTTCTTCTGGAACAACTGGCGTTTATTTCTCCTCCTCCTGCTCCGGCTCCTTCTCTTCTTCTGTATGGAACTGATGGTTTTGCCCCAAGTTCTCTTTCTTATTTCTGCCATGTCCTTGTCTTTTTTTGTCTTTCTTCTTCCTGCTGGGAGTCTTCTTCAGCGTCAAAGTCCTTATGGTATTTTCTTAAGAACTGCTCAGCCTTCATGGTATCAGAAATAGAATGTCTCTTAGTTTTGTAGTAAAAGGCCACTCCTTGGGGATAGAGCCATCGAAAGGATATCTTCTTCTGTTTGAGTTTGCTCACTAGGAAAGCAAAATCTTTCCTTTTTTTCAGGAATCTTCCAGGGATCTCTTTTAGCATCAAAATTTTCTTTCCCCCTATTATAATGGGGGATTCATACTGTTTCTTCAAAATAATATCTTTGCATATTCTTGTAACAAATTACACAATGCAGTCCCTGGGGAGTTTCTTTTGTTTTGCTATTGCAGGACTCACTCTATAGCATGCAGATATGGAATCCATCATCACTGGAATCCATTTTTTCTTGATCAACCAAGCCTAATACATATGTGGTGGCAATGTAAATATGTAAATAATTTTTCAGGGAAAGTATTTAGAGAAATAGAAGATATATTGAATATTAAAATAGAAAGAAGTCATAGTATAGCTTTATTATCATTATATAATAATAAACAATTGAAAAAAGAATAAAGAAGCGATAACAAATTTCTTAACAATAGCAAGACTGCTTATAACAAGGAACTGGAAAAAGAAATAAATATACAAATAGAGGAGTGGTACAAGGAAGTATGGAAATTGGCAATAAATGATAAGCTGACGTGTATATTAAAATTTAAAAGAGGTATATGGAAACAAAGTGATTTTGATGATGTATGGAGAAAAATTATTGAAAAAGGATTAAAAAATAAAGAAGGAAAGTTACCTCCCCAAGAAAAACTGAAATTTTGGATAGAAGATATTTAAAAGCTGTGGCTTGGGAGGGGGTGGAGAGCACAGCGGTGAGAAATAGACAATATGTATAAGCAGAAAGATAACACTAGATGCCAAAAGTGTGGCAGGTTGTATCGAATAATATGTATCTGCTGTAAAACAAACAATGCATAACAAATGTATCATGGTAAAATTATATATATACTAGCTGTACCCACCATGCGTTGCTGTGGCCAACCTTCCCTCCCTCTTTTTCTCCTTCCTTTCCTCTACTTCTCTCCCTTCCTATTTATCTTCTTCTTTCTTCCATCTCTACCTGTTTCTTTCTTTGCTCTTTGGTTACATCCTTCCTTCTTTCCCTTTCACTTTTTTATTTCCTTCTCTCTTTCCTTGTTTTTCTCTCTTTCTTTCTTTCTTTCTTTCTTTCTTTCTTTCCTTCCTTCTTTTCCTCCCTATTTCCCCCTTTCCTTCCTTCATTCCTTCCCTCTTTCCCTCCTTCTCTCATTACTTCTTGACAGTCCCTTCCAACTCTATTCTGTAAGTCTATTTAATTTGTATTATATAGTAATACGAATTACTATATAAGGAGGAGTCAAGATGGCGGAGCGGCAATACTAATCTGCAGCAGCTCAGGGAAGGAATTATCCATCTGCCGGAATCCTCACCTCTGGGAACCCCTAAAGCGACCCATACCAACAAAAACCCTATTTTAAGTAGGGCTGCCTTGGACAGAAGCAACTAGGAAAGCTACAGAGGTCATTTCTGGCCTTTAAAATCTGGGCCTACCTCGCTGCTGGGCTGACTCGGCCTCCACCACCGCCGCTGCCGATTTCCACCTCGCAGCCGTCTCGGGCCTGGGCTGGCCAAGGGAGGAGCGGGCTGCGATATCACTACTACGACCACCGCGGATCGCCGCCTTGCCGCCTCATTGCCGTGCCGTGCTGGGCAACGACTGGAGGTTGGACAGGCCTGGGCTGATTGGCGGAGGAGCAGGGTGCAGCAGGCTCGCCATCGCCGTTCGGCCGTCGCGGATCGCCGCCTCGCTGCCACCTCGTTACCGTGAACCCGGGCACCAACTGGAGCGCAGCGGGCCCGATTTGGCCATAACAGGAGCAGGACGCACAGGGCCCTCCACCACCGCTGAGGCCATTGTGGATCGCGGCCCCGCTGCGTTGGGAGACCAGGCTTGAGCTATTTGGTGGAGGGACGGGCTGTAGCAGCCTGCCATCGCTGCTGCCGCCACTGTCACCTTGGCGAGCCGTCTTGCTGCTGGGCCATCCCGGGCAGTGGCCTGAAGCAAATTGAGGTACGGCCGGATCCGGGTGGCCTCGCCATCACCACGACAGTCGCGGCCGGAGGAGAGGGCCCATCATCACCTTCATCGCTGCCGCTGCTGACTTGCTGCTTCACAACGGCCGGGTTTGGCTTCTGCTGCTGCCGCTCAGAGCTGCTGGAGCCACTCCACCTGCCGCCCCGGAGATCGGGAAGAGGGAGAGGAGCCACCTGCATTGAAGGAACCATCACCGCGTAGGGGAAGAGGAGGACCCCTTCCTTTGAGTTCTGCTGCTGAGTTCCTCTGCCATCTTGATTTATTATTTTATTTTGATTTATTATTTTATTTTTACTTTTATTTTCATTTTCATTTTCATTTTCATTTTATTTTCATTTTTTTGGATTAGTTTAGTTTGGTTTAGTTTAGTTTAGCTTAGTCTGGGGTTGTTGTGTGTTGTTAGGTGCCTGTTGGGTGTTGTTTGTGATATGTTGGTTGTGACGGACATTTAAGATCTAAACAGTAGACAGGAAGTGCTGTCCGTCCATGACTCAGCGTTCTGCTGCCATCTCCAGAGTCAAGCCAAGCTGAGCAAGGCAACTTCATTCAACGCAGCTTAGAATTTGTGCTGGTAATTAGTGTTAAACAATTATTGTCTTCACTATCCGGGCTGCCATCTTCCCATGAGCTGGGTCATCTCCTTCAGAGGATGGTCAGGAATAACCAGGGACTCAGCCAACGGACGCCAGCTTGTTCTCCACGGGTCCAGGGAGCTGGGCCCCTTGGTTTGAACTTACTGTCCTGCTTGACTGTTGATATTGGACTTAGTCCAGAAGGCACTAATTTTGCACTTTAGAACTATCGTAGCACTAAACCACTTTAAATTAAGCACTTTTTAAATCTCTAATCTGCCAGAATTCTTGCCAGTAATTAGCCGGTCCCAAATTCCAGATCTATGATCAAGTGATTAATTGTGTTGCACTTTAAACAATTGCTCAGAGTCTTGCACTGTCACTTTGGAGCTAGTTACATATATTGTTGTTTACAAATACTTTACTCCCATGTTACCATTGATACCACTCTTGCTGCACAAGAGTGGTATTGCACAAGTGCACTTTACCATCTTCAATACACTGGAAGGAGCAGGTAATATCAAGGGGTGGGAACATCAGGATCCAACTATATGTAACCATATTTGTCACCAAGCACTAACATATGGAACAGCAACAGATGGAAATGGAGGGTATGTCTGCGGGGGGGGGGGGGGGGGTCTATGGGTGGGGGTGCCACCATAAGGGTGGTGACAGGCAGAGGGAGATACGGGAAAG